TCCAATCTTCCATAACCTATATGTTAAATTCCATTATTATCATAAAGATATTGGAATAGAATAACTCAGGAATTTACTAGAAGAAACAACTGCATAGACTCATCTTATATGTCTATTGATTTGCTATGAGCTATGTTAAATTTTTTGGAAGAAAAACAATCCCTCTAATCAATAAGAATATCAGTAATCTCATCCGAGAATACAGTTTCTAGAACACTGTCCAAAAGTTTCCAAGAAAAATTGATTTCAAATCTATAATTCAGTCAAACCAAACTGTTACTGAAATATACTAATTAGTTTAAGACATATAAGAACTTAGAAAATATGCTACCTACATATCATAAAATATATAACTTAAATAAGAAAAATATAAAATAAAATGAAATACGCTATGATAAAGAATTCCATATTGTCCCCATATCTAGAAAAGCACATTTTCTCCCTGAAGTGTAAGCTAAAGTTTTCCCTAGCAGACAGATGCCAAGTTTTCATTTTGTATCTCAGACTCTTGGTTACTCAGCTTTCTATCTGTTTCAGAGTGAGATAACTTATAAGTTTATTTTGATTCATTGCTTCTTCAGAAGTCTCACCATATGGCCGCTTAGCCTGACTGCTTTTTTGCTTGTGACAGCAGAGTTCATCATGACAGGAGTATGTGGAAGAGAAAACTTTTTCCTCTCATACCAGTTAGGAAGCAGAAGAGAGCACAGGGAAGGATCCGAGGTCCGGGTATCCCCTCTAAGGACCCAGAGATCTAACTTCTTTCCATTAGCTCCAAAGGTTCTACCATTTCCCTGTAGTGTCAAGGGCTGGGGACCAGCTCTTCAATTTATGGGCCTTTCGGGAACATTTCAGACCTGAACTGCAGCTGGATTTTAGCTAAGGAAAGCCTGCAGTTATAAGCTACTATGAGGGAGTGAAGGGAAAGCTGAAATTGTCGTATTGCATTAACAGAACCCATCATTAGACATACGAATATAAAAGCAATCAGCTAATACTCTCAAAAATGAATACCCTGAGGCAATGCGACACATATGGTACCTTCCTGAAAAATATCACTGCATGACAAAATCTGATCAACTAAAACATAGTTAAGGAACAAAAGGATATGTTGGTAGAAGAGAGGAGGTAAAGATAAATCATTTTAACTGTAGTAACAGACATGTTTAGTCCATGAAGGGAGATCCTAGGGTGCCCTGGGAA